CTTCTCACGACTGGATGGTAGGTTTTACATTTATTGTCCGTCTCCTCTGTGAAAATATACAATCTATGAAGCTGGAGTTTTTCTTTTTATTTACTTTATTCAGTTCCTGGCACATAGTAAATGCTCAGTGAATATGTATCAAATGATTGATTTATTGATTCATGAAAAGGGAGGTGAAGAAAATATCTTTTCTTTTTAAAATAAAGCCCTGAATTCTTCACATCGGAGCAAGGAATGATTTCTAGGGAGGAGCAGAGGATATAGTTTCTCTGGAAGGAAGCCTGGGGAGTGGAGCAACTGTTTTCAGGAGATCTCACCTTTTTTCCTCCAGGGGTGTCTTAGATCTGGTAACCAACCTCTGGAAAACAGTTCTTTATTCAAGAGAAACAATACCAGGGCGCCTGGGTGGCTCAGTCGGTTAGGCATCTCCCTGCGGCTCAGGTCATGATCCTGGAGTCCTGGGATGGAGCCCCAGCATCAGGCTCCCCACTCGGGAGCCTGCTTCTTCCTCTCCAGCTCCCCCTGCTTGGGCTCTCTGTTTCTCTCTCTCTCTCTGTCAAATGAATAAATAAAATCTTTAAAAAAGAGAGAGAGAGAGAGAAACAATACTCCCGGAGGCCCAGCCACCTGCGGAGTCCCTGGCAGCATCTGCTCTCCACAGAGAGATGATTTGCAGAAAAGCACTGACCATTGAGCTTCTTCCTCTGAGCTTCAGTTTCCTCATCTGTAAAATGGGGAAATGTACATATCTACCTCCCTAGGGCTGTTGGGATGATAGGAAGATCATGTAGGTGAAAGCCCTGTGTAAACTGTAATGTCCAGTGCACTTCCCACTATGCATTGGGAAGAGGTAGCATGTGGAGTCAGGTTGGCCTGGGGTGGAGTTCCTGCTCTACTGCTCACCGGCAGTGTGGTAAATGGTGTCCTTTCTCTGAGACTTGGGTTCCTTATCTGTTAAGTGGGACTATTACTTGTATCTACAATTTACAAGCTTGTTTTAGAAATTAAATAAGCATCAAGTGAGATCATGTAAGTGTCTGGCACACAGCGGGTAACTCAGCAAATGTTCCTCAAAGGCACACACAGCCCTTAAATACTCTGGGTGGCTCAAGTCAGTTCAGTGTCTTACTCTTGATATCGGCTCAGGTCATGATCTCAGGGTCGTGAGACTGAGCCCCGCATCGGGCTCTGCACTGGGCATGAAGCCTGCTTAAGATTCTCTCTCTCCCTCTGCCCCTCCCCCACCCCCTGCTCCTGCTCTCGCTCTCTCTAAAAAAATACTCTGGGTAACGAAGTGTTCTTCATCTGAAGGAGAAAACAGACAATGATGAGTTCTTTCTCTCCAGTTTCTCTTCTGAGCGAGGAAATCACTGGCCAGAACCCATGCAGAGGACTGGCAGCCAAATGCAAACTCCCACATGGAGTTTCCGAAAAGTGTGAGCGCAGAGTTGCATAACCTGTCCCTGAGACACGTGTCTCTCCTGAAGTGTTTCATCAAACATTCCCTGAAAGGTTTCACGTGAGCGGGCAGCCTAGCAAAGGAGGAAGGGAGAAAGAGAGGGAGTTGGAGAACCCAGCAGGTGGGGTGGGATTAAGAAAAGAAGGTACTGCATTTACTGAGCTCCTACTGTGTGCCAGGCACTGGGCTCACTCTATCTGACATCCACCTAGATCTTTCCCATAAATCTGAGAGATCAGGTGTTACCACTCACGCATTCCAAGGGAAGAAATAACAATAATTAATATTGCTAACGTTTACATAATGCTGACTGCCTATCAGGTGGTAGTAGGGTGAGCACATATTTGATCCTCAGGACAGCCCATGTCATGGGTACTAGTCTTATCGCCATTTTTATAGAGAAGGACACTGAGACTCAGAAATGAAGTAGCTTCCCCAAGATCACCCAGCAAGATAGTAGTAGGGCTAGGATTCAAATATAAGCAGGGCTCAAAGCCCACAGACCTGTATGAGGACATCCCCCAAGGGACTTATGTGGGGGTGCATAGATCTGGAAAGTGATTCAAACAAGAGTTGACCTTGTAAACCCACAGTGGGAGTTCAGTGTGGAAGTGACGTAAGTGACCAAGTAACCAGAGGCACTCCTCTTCTCTGCACCCAGAGGACAGTTTGTCCCAGCTGTGGCTGTTTGTCATTCAGTCTCTGACCTAAAGTTTAAAATTTCATTCATAAGTTTGGAACCACAAACCCAGCAGCATGGGAAGGGCCCTTGGAGATCAGCTATTCTAGTCCAACCCCCTCAGATTACAGATGGAAAAAAACCCTGAGGCCTAAAAAGAGCCATGGACATGGCAAGGTCACAGAACAATTTTCTGTTAGAAGGAGGATTTGGTTTGAGGTCAATTACAGATCATCTTGTTCTGTAATTACCAAATGTTGACTGTACCTCTGAATCACTTGGGGAGCTCTTTAAATATCCAGATTTTTGCTTCTGCTTCTGGAGATTCAGACTTTGGTTTGCAACAAGGCCTGGGAATCTGATAATATAATATGTTCCTCAGCTGATTCAGATGGCACAAGGCCAGGGACTGCATTTGGAAGTTGGAGTCCAATTCTCCTCCTTCATTTTATACTTTGGCATACTAAGACCCAGCAAGGGACTTGCCCCAAGGTCACATGGCAGATCACTGGGGCCCTAGTTCAGGCTTTGTGATCATTCTTCTTCTCCAGGCTTCCTGTGGTCAGATTCTCAAAATGGGCCAAGGAGTTTGGCTAAGGGAGTTACTGTGGTTTTCCCCAGCTCTTGGTTTCCTTGTTTTACCCAAATTAAGACAGAGGATGGTGCCCCATTTCCCAAGCTTGGAAAGATGGGAATTTAAGAGCTGAAATCCTACAGGTAAAAGGAAACTGCAACAAGCTGTCCTGCAGGCCCGAGGGGCTTTCCCAGAGGCAAGCTCCAGGCTCCAGGAATGACATCAGACCCCAGCTATTCAGTGCCCTAACGCCTCAGGGTACCTGTGTTTTCTGTTGCGGGAGAATGGGTAGGGAGGACCTTCTGTCCGTGGGAGATGACAGGTAGAAAAGACCCAGCTGTGACGCAAGTGGGGTCCTGACTCAGGAGGAGCCAAATATTCTGGCACCTGGAAAGAAGACCAAGCTGCTTTCGGAAACTGAGTCAAACCTCTCAAGCACTTTTCCTGGGCTTCTCCCTACTCCACCACTTATTTCACTCTCTTTTTTTTCCCCTTCGGGAATGGTTATTTGGGTTTTGGAGTGTGGTGTCTTGGGTTCAAATTCCTGCTCAGTTTCTTATGAGCTGCCTTACCTATATAGAGTCACACTCCCTTTCTAAGCCTCCATTTCCTCACTTTATTTATTTTTAAAGATTTTATTTATTTATTTGACAGAGAAAGAGATAGCAAGAGCAGGAATACAAGCAGGGGGAGTGGAAGAGGGAGAAGCAGGCTTCCTGCCAAGCAGGGAGCCTGACGTGGGACTCGATCCCAGGACCCTGGGATCATGACCTGAGCCGAAGGCAGACGCTTAACGACTGAGCCACCCAGGTGCCCCGGTTTCCTCTTTTAAAAAGATGGATAATATCCACTTTCTCAGATTGTGAGGATGAAACAAGATCACATACGTATTTGATAAGCAGAAGATGTTTTCTCAGAAACAGTAGATCATATGGGTAATCAGTGGACCAGACGGGATTTGAATATATTTTTGTTGATCCGAATTGAGGCGCCTAAAAGAATGGTTAAGCTGGAAAGCACCTCAGAAATCTTTGGGCCTTAATGACTTCCAAACTGGAGTCCAAGGGAACTGTTTACAGTATTTCTAAATGATAAGGGAAACCACATACTTACTCTTGATAAACTCTCACGGTTCCTTACTTTTGTCTGGAATTGTATCAACTCAAGGTGGTAATATGATTATCACATGCTGTTCAGAAGTTCTGATTGGCAGTTACATGTGTCTTTGATAGGTGTTTTTAATGGGGAACTAATTAGTGGAGGGTATATTGAATGTTGGCAAACATTAATCTTGTCTGAGTCCTCATTTCATAATCAGGGAAGCTGGGGTTTAAAGAGGGAAGTGGCTTGCTAGTTGAGGAGCTAGTAGAGCTGGCTCTAAAATCCACGTTCTTTCCCTGGAATCAGTTACTTCCCTTCTTTCCATTCTGGAGAAGGGGGATCTAGGCTCAATGAAGTTGAGGGGTTTGGGTCGGCTAGGCCAGGAATAAAGTGATTCATCAATCTGCTGTTACTCTTTCTCTGTTTTGACTCATTCAGCAAATATTTACCGACTGTGTACACTATGTGGACTCAGAGGAGAAGGCGGAGACAAAACAGTTACGGTGGCAGGCAGGGTCAGAATCCGCTTCCAGGTATGACTTCAGAACCTGTCCTTTTTCTATTTTAAGTATATATGTATATATAAATATAAACGGAAACCCACGTTATAAAGCACCCACTACTTTGCCTCCTAATAATTAGGTTGGGTCAGAGGGCAAGGATTCGTACGTGTCCAAACCCTCCTGGCACCCAGTAACACGAAATCAGCGCTGCGATGTTGGCACGTGAATTCTACTCCTGACTGCCACTAACTCTATGTATTTGAGGCAGTACGTTGCTTTCCTTCTCCGACCCTTAATCATCTGTAAAAACGGGAACAGTGGCAAAGCCCTGTGTGGAAGGGCTGGCTGGTTCACTTAAAGTTATCCCAGACTTTAACTAGGAGACAGAAAACAGAGTCTACATTTAGAGACTCCGTAATTCCTAAACATCTTTCCCTGGTTCTTGCCCACCCCTCTCCCTACTTTCCAGGTTGCCCCCCTTTTCTTCAAGATTCCCCTGTAGAGGGCACGCAAGCTCTACCGCTCCGTGCCTCACTTCCCGTTCGCCTTCACTCTTCATCTTGCGCATGTGCACACTTCGCTTCCCAGCTGCCGGTACGCGGGTCTGGGCGGCTTGGCCAAAGATTGCACCCACTACGCCTGCGCACTCTCGGCCCCGCCCCCTCCACCGCCGTCCCCGGAAACGCTTCCTTCCTACGCCGTCGCTGCCGCTGCCGCCGCCGTCGCTGGACCTTTGCCTCTCTAGGCCGGTAGGGCTTCTCCTCCATGGTCCTGTCTGTCATCGCTGTTTGGGGGGCCAGCCGGTGAGACTGGGCCGCGCTCGGACGCTTCGACCCTCGAGTCCGTCACCGGTGAGTGAACCCCAAAGGAGCCTGCGGACGGGCGGGCCTGAGCAGCCGGAATGGGCAGGATTTCTCCTCACTCTGGCAATGGGTCTGTCCGCCCCGCCCTCACCCCCACTCCCGGATTGGGCTCGCCGCCTCTGTCTCAGTCCCTCCTCCCGGGCGGGGCGGCGTTGCCATGGTGACGGCCGGCTGGCTGAGGCCCGGCGTGTGTCCTCGCAGGTGCCAGGGCGGCCCCGGACCCATGGCGCGGCGGCGCTGACCCAGGCCCCGGTTGGCGGCCGGGCCCCGAGGGCCGGCATGGCGGGCCAGTTCCGCAGCTACGTGTGGGACCCGTTGTTGATCCTGTCGCAGATCGTCCTCATGCAGACCGTCTATTACGGCTCGCTGGGCCTGTGGCTGGCGCTGGTGGACGGGCTGGTGCGCAGCACCCCCTCGCTGGACCAGATGTTCGACGCCGAGGTAGGGTATCCTGGCCGGTGCGGGCGGAGCCTCGGCCTCGCGGGGTGTTTTTGTGGGTCCGACCCCCCCGCCCGGGATCTAGACGTGCCTGGACCACCTTCTCACTTTGTGACCCTGGGAAAGGGACCTCTTCTTTTTGAGCCTCAGGTGCCCCATCCATAAAATGAAACCACTGACAACAGAGGCAGATTATTAGTACAAAGGAAAGGACCTGGATATCATAAAGAATAAGCCTGTGTTCCAGGCAACCTGATGCATCTCCTGTCTGACACTCTGAAAAAGTGACTTCATTTTCCTGGCCCCAGATTCTCAGGTGCCAAATTGGAGAGGGAGGGTGGATAAAAGAGCATTCATGGAGGTATTATGGAAACTGCCTAGAGTTAGGAATTGGACCTCAGTTAAAATTACGCTTACTACCTGTGTGATGTGGGGCAAGTGTTGTCCCCTCTAAACCTCAGTTTTCCTGTCTGCAAAATCGTGAGACCAGTAGCAGAGCTCGTGGACTGCAATACAAAGAGCCTGCCTGTACTTTGGATTCAGGAAGGTTTAGCGTCCAATCTAGGTCCAAATATACTAGCCATGGGATTTTGGGCAAGTTGCTTCACCTTTCTGAGCCTATTTTCTCTTCTGGAAACTGGACAGAATAATTAGAAAAATGTTATCAGGCCCAGAGACCCCAGAGGTACCTAGGAAGATGAAAGTGCTTTATCAAGTAATGGAGGGCTATGAGATGGTTGCATCTGAGAAGCAGCTGTGTTGTATGGTAATGAGCCCAGCTCTCGGAGCCAGGAGATTGGGAATGGAATCTTTTTGCGCCTGCTGCTTATTCTCTGTGTAGCCCTTGGGCAAGGTATTATCTGAAAAGAGGTAACAGTAATGATAACAATAGCTTTGCGAGGTGGTTGTGAGGATTACAGGAGATTATGAAAGTCAGAGGCCTTTGTAAACTGACAGTGCTGGGCAGATGTTTGGTATTCAGTAGTATTGTCTCTAGAGTGGTGGAAGTTGCACACACACTGGGTGCCCAGTCTCTTAGGAGCTTCTGTCCTCCTGGGAAGGGCCTGTGGGAATCCTGGGCTTTGTTGAAGAGCCATCTCATGCACACGACCTGGAGACCTGGATTCTAGACCAGGGGTTGGCGGACCTTTCCTTAAAGGGAAAGATAGTAAAGGTTTTAGGTCACAACTACTCGACTCCGCCATTGTGGTACAAAAGTAGCCAGAGATAGTACTAAGCAAATAGGTATGGTAGGGTTTCCATAAGACCTTATTTACAAAACTAGGTGTCTGATTGGTGGGGCCTCAGTTTGCCGAACCCTGTAATAGTCCGTACTCTTGCTGTTTACTTACTGTATCACTTTGGGCAAGTTACTTAATGTCTCTGAACTTTTGTTTCTCCTTTGTAAGTCTTTTCCCGGCTGCTGTTTGGGGTCAAACGAGATACCATAGTAGATGTCTGTGAAAGTGCCTTGTTGGAAATAGGCTGCCATACAGACGCAGGGCCCCGTGGTCTTCTGTGCTCTGGGAGGAATGCTTTTTCCTTAAGAGGTCCTGGAGCCTGGAGCTCTGCCAAGCCAAGTCACTTTTCCAGCATATTTCCATTTGTGATTCCCCCTCAGATCCTGGGCTTTTCCACCCCACCAGGCCGGCTCTCCATGATGTCCTTCATCCTCAACGCCCTCACCTGGTGAGTATCACCAGTTTTGCTCTCCAGCTTTTGGGGTCCCAACACTGGAACTAACTTCCTAAATCCAGACATGAGACAGGCTGGCACTTGTTCCTGGGGAGTGGTGGATGAAAGTGGGTGGCAAAGGCCAGTTCTGGGACTGACTGCATTATAGGGCTCCTTCCATCACGATTTTGCCTTAGCTGAAAAGCTCTTAACATCACTCTGCATGCTGCCTGTGGGATAGCTTCCATCTCAGATCACTTCCCTGTTGTGGAACGAGGTGAGGAAGGGATTGGACCGGTAGTCAGGAGAAATCGGTTCTGTTCTTGATACCTGTGCCATTGGCCAAATTACTTCCCTCCTCTCTAGGCCTTGGGCTCCTGGTCGGTACACCCGAGGGGTTTGACTGGGTAACATTTAAGGCCATTTGTGACCATTGCCTGCCTCTTCAGGGGCAGTTTAGCATAGTGATTAAGATCTTGGCTTTGAATCTCAGCTTTCCCACTAGTCTAGTGACTTTCGACAAGTCGATCTATCTAGGCCCCGGTTTCCTCATCAGTAAAATGAGGCAAATAATATTACCTATCTCATAGTTGTAAGGGTTAAATGAATTCATTCATGGGAAGTACTTAGAACAACACCTTGCACGTTACTGTTCTTGACCTTACACTGGAGATTGAAAATGGGTGGGCTGACTATGACCTGAATTTGGCTCCTCGATATGTTCTGTTTGGCATCCCACAAGTGGTGTTTAAAACATTTTTCCACTTAGTTGAAAGTCAGGATATTTTATATATTAAAAAAAAATATCCAGATTTCTGGCTTCTCTTGAAAAATGGAAAGATCATTTGATTCCAGGCCAGCCTTCCAGCGTGAGGATTTGCCTAGCTACAAGTAGCTTGTTGTCCCCACTTTCAGTGGCCCATGTATGCTTCAGGGTGCTGCAATCCCCACCAGTCCCTGGGATTCCCCTGAGTGACAGTTACTATTTCTCATCAAGCTTGTACTTTTGTTTTTCTTCTACCCAGCCTGATTCCCTCCCAGCGTTACCTGCTAGCTCTCTGGGCATCTAATAATGTAACCCTTGCTTCACACTTCTCTTATTTGCTTCTGACCACTATGCTGTTATCCTAATTGTCTCTACTCCCCAAATGATCTAAGGCCAGGACGACCCAGTGACAACTCACTGCTGTCCTCTCCCCACAGTGCCCTGGGCTTGCTGTACTTCATCCGGCGAGGGAAGCAGTGTCTGGATTTCACTGTCACTGTCCATTTCTTTCACCTCCTGGGCTGCTGGTTCTACAGCTCCCGTTTCCCCTCGGCGCTGACCTGGTGGCTGGTCCAAGCCGTGTGCATTGCACTCATGGCTGTCATCGGGGAGTACCTGTGCATGCGGACGGAGCTCAAGGAGATCCCCCTCAACTCAGCCCCTAAATCCAATGTCTAGAATCGGGTCCTTTGGACACCCGGCTGGGCACTTGGCCCCACCCCCCAATACCTTGGGCTGTTCAGACCCTCCAGTCGAGGTCCAGCCCAGGTCTGAGAGGAACCCTGGAAATGTGAAGTCTCTGTTGGTGTGGGAGAGATAGTGAGGCCCCGTCAAGAAGGCAGGTAGCAGTCAGGACCACAACTGCAAGAATGGCCTCTGTCGGCTGAAGCCTTGCTGTCTGGGAGGTCAGCAAGGGGACCTCTGTCAGGGTAATAACAGAATTGGAACCATGTCATTCTTGAGCCACCATACCTGTCACCAGCCTGTTATTTTAAAAAAGAACCAAATCAAGGATATCTGATTGGCGCAAACCACTCTTCTAGTCATCTGTCTTACCTTCCAGGGACAGCTGTTACCTTTGCCATGTTGCTGAACTGCAGCTATTTTGTTTGGAGAAACGCTCAGTTTCTGGATCTGTAGCCACAGAAAGAGAGGTGCAAAGTATTAGGCTGCTGTCAGGGAGAGGACAAGCAGATGGAGGCATCAAGCACGAGGAAAACGCACAACCTGTGTCCTGCCACACGCCTGTGTGTGCACACCCATGAACCCATGACTGACTTTTTTCCAGTTCTCTCTGCTGGGTCCCCACCTGCTGCCAGCGTTCAACAGAGCAGGCCCTAGGACCCAGAGAAGAGTCCCAGCATCGCTCCTGGTCCACCCCTCGTGACAGAGTCACTGCCTCTTCTCTAGGAATGACTAGGCACCCCAGCTCCCTCCAGACCTCACTTCTGCCAATAGTTCCTTTTTCCTGCCTTCCTGGGAATTCTGCGGTGGGAAGGGTATGATGGGTACCCAGAGACAGGAAGCCCAGCCTTCCAACTTGGGTTGCGCTGATAGTGCTGAGGGAGATAGGAATTTGCTGCTAAGATTTCTCTTTGGGGTGGCATGTCCTCTGTGAGGGGCTTGCAGCTGTCCCTCCTACGTACATAAATACAGTATTTTCCATGGTTCTGCCTGTGCTTACTTTGTCCTGCCGTGGTTGGGCCAGTGAGAGCCCTGCACAGCCAGACAGGGAAGCTATAGAGAATGAGTAGGCCACCTTCTCTTCTAGACCGCAGGTTGTTCTTCCATTTGGTTAAAATATAAAGTGCAGGGAATTCCTGTGTCCTACCCCCTCCATCTGCGGCCACCTCTGCTCTGCCTTGGGTGAACTGCCATGATTGAGTTTCCTTTTTCTGGCCAGTGATTTCTGAATGTGTTCAGTGGAACGCACTTGGTGTAGACCCACTTCTGTATTGAAACCATCAGTGTACCTCTTTGGGTCCTTGGGAATCTGCCCAAGAGTGTGGGCAGCTTTCAGCTTGTAGTGTTAGGGCTTCACAGATGAGTTTTGCTCTCTGCCCGCGAAACTTTTTTTCATAGCCCTGCAGAGTAGGGAGGTGAGGCTGACAGGATGAAGGTTTGAGAGTGAATGTGCCTGGCTGAGGGGGGGAGTGGGGGAGAAGTGTGCTGTGGCCAAGCTGGAAGGAAGCAGCTTGTTAATGGGACTTGAATCCTGGCTGCAGGGTCCAGGAGATAAGACCAACTGAGGTGACTTCCCCTGGGTTAGTGGGTTTCCCCCGACACCACAAACCACAAAGGCATGTGGTTAATGTTATTTGGGGAAGGTCACCAGAGCACACATCATGTGGCTGCTGTCTCCCTTGGTCAGCTGGGGGCTGGTTGCTCCAGCTGTGTTGGCACACATCTTTGGGAGTTTCCTTCAGAGACCTATGCCTGTTCTGCATATCTTCTGTAATGATAAATCTTTGCCCCTTGAGTGTTAATTTGGTTTTTGGAAATTGCCAGAAGTTAGGGGAGCCAATTTTTTTTTTTCTCCAACAATATACAGTGATGGAACCGGATGACAGTTGGGGGTGAAAAAATGTGTGACCTTAATGAAATTATGATTTTTAAAAATTTTTTATTTATTAGAGAGCACAAGCCGGGGGGAGAGTCAGAGGAAGAAGCAGATTCCCCACTGAGCAGGGAGCCTGATGCGGGGCTCGATCCCAGGACCCCAGGATCCTGACCTGAGCTGAAGGCAGACGCTTAACCGACTGAGCCACCCAGCTGCCCCAAAATTACGATTTTCTAAAATAACAAAGCACTATCTAGAGGCAAGTTCCAGAGAGAACTGGGCAGTGGCAGGGACATGTTCGTCATTTTATTTATTTTATTTTTAATATGTATTTTTTAAAGATTTATTTATTTTAGGGAGAGAGAGGGAGAGAAAATCCCAAGCAGACTCTGTACTGAGTGCGGAGCCCGATGTGGGGCTCGATCTCATGACCCTGAGATCGCAACCCAAGCTGAAACCAGGAATCCGATGCCCAGCCGGCTGTGCCACCCAGGCAGCCCTGTTTATCATTTTAGTAATAAATAGCTGTGCTTAATAGATGTGCAGCAGTGGGCTAAGTGCTTTACACGTTATTTTCTTAATCTTCACAACAACCCTCAGAAGTAGGAAATATCATCTATATCTTACAGATGAGGAAACTAAGGCATTTGCCTAAGGTTACGTGTTAGGAACTAGCAGACCCAGGATTTGGGCTCTGGCTTTGACAATAAACTCATTCTGAAGACATTAATAGTTAAAGGACTTGCAAGTTCTTTAATTAATTTTACAAACTGTCACCTCTGCCTTCCACTGTATTGCTTTAAATACAAAGGATATATAGTGCTTTGTAAACATTGTGAGCTTTCTTAGAAGAACTGGTAGACTATTAAATATGGCCACAGATTCCCAAGTGAACGGATGAATGTAGGAAATGTTTTTATTTCCAAAGGATAAGGGAAAGTTACCTCCACCCCGACACTGAGTTGGTGTATCTCTTGACTTCCTAGGGGGTCTGAAGCCTGCACCTCCTTTCATCCCCCACACCCCTACCCCTCCACTACCTCAACTTCCATTTGGAGAGAGAAGTGGAGACTAGTGCATAACTGGTACTCAGAAAAGTTATGACCCGAAGAGAAATTGGGAAAGGAGAAAGGGATATCTAGCTCAGAGGGTGCCCCTAGCTGCCAGTTCTAGGCAGCCCTGTCCAGATCAGAGCCAAATGGAGGCCGGGATGGCAGCCAGCAGATACCAGGGAGTGGGGTGGGAAGCTCCAGGCCCCCATGAATCCTATGGGGTGCACGATTCAAACAGTCTTTCCTGGAAGCACTTTCAGCTGCTCAGTGACTCCCCTGATAAGAGTAGCCTCCTCTGGCAGTCCCAGGGGGCAGTCCGTGCACAGACATGGATCTCCTCCCTGTATCTGTAGCACAAGGAACACAGAGCTTCAGGGGCAGGTAGAGTATGGGCAGATTCAGGGCATGAGAGAGGCCCTCTGTGGAGGGGGAATTAAAGCCTTGCTTGAGGTTTTCTGTAGGAGAGTAGCAAGTGGTGGTGAAAACAGCATTGAGAAAGGAATGGGTAGAGTTTGCTAAGAGTTTGGATCCCTGTCCTGCTATGCTATGGGCAAGACAGAATTGTAGGGCCCTGGGGCACTAGGGTGACTTGGTTGGTTAAGCATCCGACTCTGGATCTCAGCCCGGGTCTTGATCTCAGGGTCATGAGATCAAGCCCTGTGCTGGGCTCCATGCTGGGTGTGGTGCCTACTTAAAAAAAAAAAAAAAAAAAGGGCCGCAAGGCTATAGGACTTAAGAGAGCGGAGTGCAAGGTTAAATCCTGGGTCCTGTTACTAGCTGTGAGGACTTAGATAAGCTGCTTGACTTCCCCTTACCTTGGTTTCCTTGTTTGTAAAATGAGGATAAGCTAGTACTTCCCTGTGTTGTGAGGATTCAATGAGATACCTAGTGTAAAGCTTAGCACAGTTCCTGGTGTGTAGGAAGTGATCCAGAAATCTAAGCAGTTAAAGTTACTGGGCCACTGACGCATCTCTCCCCTTTTTACGGAGGAGACACCTTTCTTCCCAGCCTCAGTGTTTGCATCTGTTAGATGGGGAACAGGTTTGCCTGTGATCGGGGTGCAGCTACCAAGTACTGTGCTCCTATGTGTCATCCATTGCAGAGTGACTTCTGTGTATTCTTACTTAATCCAATGAGATAGGTACCATTATTTTCCCATTTTGCAGACAGAGAAACTGAAGATTAGGAATAAACTTTTCCTAACATCACAGAGCTGATGAGAAGCTAGGCCTCTCTGCCTCAACAGCCTCATCCTCTTCACGTTCCAATCATGTTTTGTGGTAAGTGATCCAGAATAGGAGAGGGACAGTCTCTGGAATCCAGATGTCATTATAGCAAAAGGTTGTGAATGTGAACATAAGATTGGCTTTTTAACAAGCAGCTAATTCCCTTAAAGGTGAGCAGTTAGGTGGGTGCTCATGAGTGAGACACAAGGAGCTTTATTGTGGCACAGGGCCAGGGAGGAGGCAGGAAAAGGACAGACATTTGTCCAACACCCCACAAACTGGCTTCACCTACATCAAGCCTGATTTGCTCGAAGCCCTGTGGAGTTGATATTAGTATCCCTATTTTATAAACGGATGAAATAGGCTCAGAGAGGTCATGTGACTTCTTAAAAGTCACTCTGAATCAAACATTTTAATTTTCCCCCGAGTTAACTGGTAGGGAGCCGTTTCTGGGGGTGGTGTCCTCTGATCACTGAGATCTGTTGCAGCCTCCTGCCCAAAGCAGGATCTAACTGAGCCCAGAAGAGGAGCCTCAGATTGTCGTAGTCAAGCACAGGGAAGGTGGTAATGGGAGGGCCCCAGCTGTGGGATTGTGGGAGGCAGGTTGTCTGAGGCCCAAGTGCCGGCTCAGGTCAGGGGGTGGGGGTGGTAAGGCTGGAAAGAGTGCACTGCTGGGAGTCATTCACACTGTAGCCTGCATCCTTGCCCCTACCCCCAGTGGCGCTCTGGACACGAGGGATCCTAGCCTCAGCACACAGGCACGGCCCATCCAACTGTTGTTCTTGGGCCCAACTCTGGCTCCCTTTGTGGCAAAGTGGAAGCTGCCAATCTTACCCAGGCCCACGTCTTTCAGGTCCCCACTTGGGGCTCCCAGGGCAGGCTCCCAGGAAGACTAGTGCAGGGGGTTGCCAAGCCGGTGTGTTTTGGTTGGGAGCGCGCTGCCCTGATCGCCTGCATAGCGCGCACAGACAGACGTTCGCGCAAAGGTTGATGGAATGGAAGGTGCTGAGGGTGAAAGAGCGAGTAGGGGTGATTTTCGAAGACTGATGGGACTGATGATGTCCAGCAAGGAAACCGAAATGGCGACTACCCAGGAGTTGGGCCGGAGTGCAAGCCCAGCGGGAAGACAGCTTGGAGTGGAGCTTGCCGGGTGGAGGCGGCGCGGGAAGCGACGCGGTGGGCGGATGCGGGGGGAGACGCGCGTAGGCTCGCAGGAGCCGAGCAGGGCTGGGCAGCCCCGAGAAGCCCCGCGCCGGCAGGCTCAGGCTGGCGGCGCTGCCCCGGGCTAACGCGGTGCGTTTCGGGGGAACCCCTCCCATCTTCTTCCCTCCCGCACCGGCCATCTCCACCACGGCCTGGGTTCCTCCCGGGAAGGCTCTGCACCCCTTGATGGCTGCGCTGCTTTCTTGAGGGCGCCACTCTGTGCAGCCTGCCTCCAGGGGAAGATCCCCAGAAGGCCCGGGTTCCCTGGGTTTTCCTCTCCCCAGCTGCACGTTCAGGGCTATGGCTTCTGCCGACAGAGGGCGACCCCAACTCGATGGGGTCGACCAGGATTTGGGATTGGGGGTTGGGCGTGTCGTGTCGCACGGGAGCTGTCGAGTCGAAGTACGGACACTGGGCCTGACTGGGTGCTTTCCCCGACCCAGGCTGGACACATTTCGAGGCCAAGGTGACACCCATTTGTTGACACCTGACGTTGCAATAACTGGGGCGCAATGCACGTGAATGACGGGCTGGATGGATGCTCCCTTGTGCCTTTTTCCTTTCTTCGGAAAATGGAATGGGGAGCAGCCAGCAGTTTTAGATTAGAGTTCTGGCCCCGCCACTTCCTAGACGCGTGAGCCTGGCCAAGTCACCTTCTGTCTCGGGGCCACGGTCTCTCACCTTGTTGGCTTACAGGGCCATTGTGAAGCATCTGGCACCCAGAAAGTACCTTCTATGACTTCATAAAGTGTCCTCTTCCGGAGGCCAGTTCGCAGGGGTGGGGAGGGGTGCAGCTTGCTGGTTTCTGTGTGTCACGTTCTAGACTGACCTTAGGGGCCTGGGAATGGGGTGGAAGAAAGCTAAAATGGTGATGCACACTTTCCCTCCCCACCTCAGTCGGGGGCCTCTTTCCTCCCTCCATCCTTTCCAGCCCCAAACAGGCAGAGCCGGCAGTACTATTCTTCAGTTCCCAATGGGAGATTTTATTTGTAGACTCGTGAATTTGCCCGCCCATCCCTCCCACTTAGATGATTGCGCCATCTCCACCCTCACCTCACACCTCTGGCTCCCGTCCAAGGTCACGCCACCTGTGAGCAGAGACCTCGGTGTTAGGAGCTAAGAGGGCCGCCAGGGGGCGCTGCCGCATGGGGAGAGGGCTCAGGGGCCAGGGCCCACTGAAGTCCTGCAGGTTGGGGATCCGGGTTTTGTGAAGGGGAAGCCTCCCTTTCAGCTGGACCCCCAAGCCCTTCATCCCTTCCTCTCTTGGGACCTCAGTTCTCTCATGGAAGGGTGGAGTAT